TTCTCGAGACACAGACAGAAGGGGACACTCTTCCACAGGTCCTGGTCGCTCTATCTTAGAGGCTTAAAACAAAACGACACAGCCCTCCTGCAAACCTGTGATCTGTCCTGTTGACAGGTGTCAGCGTAGTGAGCCGCTGGTACTGACGGGGGTGTGCCTGGTCCTCAGGCGACCCCGAGGCCTCAGCTAGGGTAAGACGCTCGGGGCCTTTGGCTCGCCTCTCTCTCCACCTTCTACCAAAACTACACTGAGACCGTGACAGCACCCAGCCCTGCATTCCCTGCCACCGCCTTTATTTATGGCTCAAATTTCCATAATTACTCGCGAAGTCACCGCCTGGCCACTCCGTATCAAATCCCAACTCCATGTCCTTGACGAACTAAACCCCTCAAAGCTCTTTCCTCCTCCTCCGCCAGTCTCACTCCTGTCCCTCACACCCTCCCTTCCTCTGGAGCCGCCGATCCGGCCAGTGCCAGCGATTCCTGACCCTTTGCTGTCAAACCGACTTCACAGCAGCGCCCCCCTCCCTCCTTCCTCCACCGCACGGCGCTGCTTCTCAAGATGCTGTCTGGTGCCCACCTCCGGTGGCAGCCGTCCTCCGGGTGGCCTGGCTGCTGGGCTCCCGGAGTCCTGACGTTTGTGCCGTAGCCGTGTCTGTGCTCGGGCTCCCAGCAAGAACCGACCGTGACGGCTCAGCAGACCTCATTCGCGTCTCCACTGCGAGGCCGGCGGCCCGCTGAGTTTCACGGTTTTGTTTCTGCTGCTTTCGTGGAGGGAGTGGTCTAGGTGGCGCGCGGGCTCCCCAGACACAGGCTTGCTGCGTGGCATTTGGCTGTCTTCCTCGAAACGGGAATAGATGAACAACTGTGTTCTAGGGGTTTTCTGCCTCCTCTCCGGCTAACCGGAGCCAGCTACCGTGTTTCAAGGTCAGAGCAGACTCTTTGGACGCAAGAGGCTTGAACTTTGGGAGGGCCGTGAGGCAGGGACACTTCTGTCTTGTTTTCTTTACTATTCGTATTTCCTTCTTTCAGAAATACGGCCGCTGCACCAGCACAGAGCCGAACATACCACCAGGCGCTGGATGAGCATTTAGTCGGCGAGTCCCCAGCCGACTCTATAAACTGAGAAGGCAGAATATGCTTTGCTTTCTACTCCTCTTGCTTTTCCTCCGGGATAAGGCAGCCCTCTTCTACCTTGTTCCCTGACTTTTCCAGGTATGCTCTCTCCATCGATTACTCTCTAAAACATCATCTGAAAATAGCTTAGGACGACCTTCCGGGTAGCAGCTCACTAACAAACAGAAGACTTTACAGCACCAAACTGAAAGATTCAGAAGAATGAAACACAGCAGAACTTCAGGCCGCGGCAGGCACCTTGCGAGCAGGGGGGACCCGCTGCCGACCTCCAGCCACCTCCGTCGCGATCACTCCCTCAGCCCTTCCTTCCTTGGCCCTCTGCCAGCTGTCGTGCCGGGATCACCGCCCACGTGCCGAACATTGAGCCATGTGTGCTGTGCGCGAGCTCACGCAGCTCCGGGAGGTGAACGGGACCGAAAGGCTGAAAAACAGAAGCCAGAGGTGGAAACCTGCAGCTGGGAGAATGGGGTGGAGGAGCCCGTGACCCCTGGGAGAGGGTCCGGGCGGTTCCGCTCCGGCTTCGAGCCTTTGCAGCCC